CACCTGTCATTCTGACCACCTTGATACCATTTTACTACTGTGACACATTTCTTGCCATCGTGATCCCATTTCATTTCTCTGTGATACATTTCTACCCATCCTGATACAATTTGTTTCACCATGATACCATTCCAGCCCCCTTTGATACAATTCAGTCAACCTTACAACAGACTGTTCTGGTTTGGCCATGTCCAGTGCCCCCTTTGGTTTGTAAACATTGCTCACAGTTGTTGTGACCTTGGAGATTTTCCTTCTCCAAGTTGTGACTGATGAGTGAGACCATAGAGCTGGGACGGTCCTAACTCAATGGTTAGACCATTAGACTGAGAGCATAAACAGCGATATAAACAGCGACAGCGTGACTTTAATCAGTCAGTTATAATGTGGAAATGTCAATTACGGACACTTTGAGTTTGAGGGTATTTTCTCATATTGCAGACATCCAAGTTCTGACAAAAAAATAAAGTGCAACTGGGATTTCATCACAAATGGTAAAGTTGGCTCGAAGATCAATTTGATATTCCCTCCCGAGCTTGTGGCAAGTACTAGAGTAAAAATACAGCCCTTAGCCAAATGGCATACTTTAGGTTGTGCAACGTATGTATACGTATGTATTACAGCTACCGGGTACGTACACACTACTGCTAGCAATCTAATAATATCATTGTGGTTAGGGGAATAAGAGGCTTCACTTCAGGTATCACTTGAGCATTGACTAGGCTTGATGTGCCTATAGGAGCTGATCCATTTAGCTGAAATGGTACAACTCAAACAGGCATGTCTATAAATTCACTGCAACCCTAAAAACCTGTAATTTCATTGTAAGTTCAGTACAACATAAACTGTGCACATTTTTGTGTCTGAAAAGAACTTGGCGAACCAGAAAAATTTGCCCTTATCAGATTTGCCATTCAACATGTATACTTGTGCATAATTATATTGTACATTGTGTAAAGTTAAAGCTATAGTCCATCATTTGCAGCCATCCGAAAAGTAACTGGCATAATTATTGTTGAAAAAACAAACTTGGTTGAAAGATAGTAAGTGAAATTATTCTTTCTGGGAAGCTGTCATTTTGAAGTAATCAACGAAAGAAGGCCTTTCCAACGGTGCGTCTTAAGACGCACCATAGGAAAATTTAAATTAGTAGTTCGTTGTTACTTGGCGAAGCACGCGCAAGCATTGGTACAACGCACACGCACGCGCAGTTGCTATAATTCGTCGGATAAGTGCCCGACGGCGCGTATAGCTGCAATTCAAAACAATTCAAAACATGATTCAGTAAATTTTGATTTGAAATTGAGATCCTAGAATGCTGTTTTTCTCGGAATACACAGCTGAAGCTTAGCTGAAACTTCATCAGGTTAGTTGTTCAGTATCCTTCATTAGATTTTGAACACTTTTGTTGCTTCAAATAAACAAAATGCACAAATTACAAATGATTGGACTATATCTTTAACCTGCTGCAGGATTTTGGCACAGAAAGATGTACTGTTATGTACATTTTCATATTTGGTTTCACTTCACACTAGCCAGCTGACCTGCCAAGCTCAATGGTCAAATGGTTAAGACATCTGTGACTGAGTTTAGGTCCCAACCAAGCAAGCTTGTGAATTTGTCCCACAATTTTTCGGACAGGTTCAAGCAAAATCCATATTACACATCTAGGTCTGTAAAGGGCAAAACCCACTATTCTACATTCCACATAACTCGTCAGCTTTTTGATTACTCCCTTCTTCTCACAGGAATAAACACATCAGCCTTGACTCACGTATGGACAATGAGGGTTGAAGCCAAGCAAGAACGGAAGCATTCAAGCAAAAATGAATCCAGCTCATCCAATCTTTCAGACGCTTCGTTTCTGACACTGCTTGGCCTTCCTGTTGCACTTGGAGACAGCTACAGCTAGCTCAATGCCGGATGATGCAGCAATCATCAACATGTATCAGTAGGCATGGATGTACGGTACAAAACATACTATTGTGCATACACATAACCTCACGCTGTGTACATTTGAAGAAGGTAAATCTAGGGTGACATCCCCGTTTGAATCTGATAGTCTACTATGTTGAGGTGCACTATGTGATAACATGGTGGAACAGACGTGTAACATTGTAACACAATTTCATTGTTTAGAAGTGCCCCAGTATAATTCCCAGTGATAAATCTCCATAAACTTAAAAAATCTTTTAAAAATACTCAGTACCCAAAACTCTCGGAAAAAGGTCTCAGGCTGCACAGAAAAATGATGATCAACATGTCATCTTTCATTTTCGTTTCAATGCTAATAATGGTCTCTTTACAAATCTTGCACTGTGGAAGTCAATAGCTGAGCAATGATTGTTTTCATCCAAATAATATCTATACACCTGTATTACATGTACATGTACCGTATGTCAAACTGATAACAGAACAAAGAGCATGGTACCGCATGCTCTTTTTACAGCAAACTACAGTGTAGTACATTTTGTAAGTGACAAAAAAGAGACTCATTTAATTTGATCCGGTCAGTAGCAGTCACATGTAGATGGAAGTTTAATGAAGGGACATTAGTCAGGCTGTCCATACAAATGAAACAAGTGTACATCTCAACAACCTCAGGGTAGCAAAAAAGAAATCGTGTATCCTACAAGTACATACATGTACGTGACATTTCTGAATGCACTCACATACATGTAGAGTACCAGTACGTGTACATATAGTATGTACCTCAAGCATGCAGAATTCACGTTTTTTTTCCTCTCAAAATGCCCTAGAGAATGTTTCCCGAATGAATACTATCAATGAAGCGGTGTGCGGCTTGACATCTCATACAAGGTACCTGTGATTACTACAAACATACTATTGGCTAAATGCACCTGTCACAGGTGGTTTTGTTGATCCCTTCATATTTTGATGTGGATATTCTATAGGGGGAATATCCTCATTGGTTAACTAACGTAGAGATCCTTTCTAGGCCCTACAGTCATCTCTTATTTGTGTACATGTAGTTGCCGCCCTGACATGTTCTTATCAAGGGGTTATTTCTTTCTTTATACCGGTAGGCCTATCGTTTTTTACTGAAATGAATTACTCAAACTCTATTTGAAAGGGACTCGTGAAAGAGAATCCGTTAAGCCCTGCCCCATGTGGTTTTGACCAATCACAGCCATCGAAATCTGAAATGTTTAAAGACTGTACGTACATGTACAATGTACACCCACACCCAATTGCCGTATATATATATGTATGCTGTATGACAAGTGCAGCTGGAACACATGCATTGTGGTACAATGTATACTGTACACGTCTACGTGTTGCACTTGTTCACAGTGCATGGGTGGGGCATATGATGGATCAATATGGAATTTCTTTTTATACTAGAATGTCAAAAAAGAGTTGCACTACATGTACCATGTAGGCCTATGTGTGTATACGTAGCATCCCAGACAAAAGGCAATGCCAAATTTCATGTGAGTTTAGAAAAACATAAAACAAACAAACAATGCCACAGGAAATTTGGCTTGTTTGCAGAATACTGCAGCACTCAATCAGAATGTTTCTCAAAGGATAAAGACAAAAACATCAAGATTAAAAACCCAGGCCCTCCTTTTTCTACATGTACGTAATTTAAAGGCAGCTACATGAATATGTGTACCATGTTACTACATGTAGTAAGGTAGGCCTACTGTACAATGTGGATGTCGAATTTCAGGACTGTCTCTCCGACCAATTGTAATCTTTTCAAATTCAGCCAGAAAAGCACGCTGATTGCACTTACATGTAAATAGCCCAAGTTATACTCCAAAGAGACTAACAGGTATTCCCGTACAGGGAACCCAATCCAATCCATTGCATTTGCCTTGCCAAGTATGCACCTTAGCAAATCATGTTGTGTGAAAATACCTTGCAAACCAAACGGCAGCCCCTATGGCACATCAGTTTGCCGTGTAATGGACAGGGTTTTCTTTTATTCATAAGACAAGACAGAGGTTCTCTGAGGGGCTAGCGAGAGGAATAGTCAGACAGGATCAGTCAGCTTTCTGGTGAAGTGATAGGGTTTCGTGCTGAGGGTAAGTATTCTGGCTGGAACCACATCACCCTCGGGCTCTGTACGCCAAGACAGGTTTAGCTACTCAAAGTGGCCAAGTGGCTCGAGTGTTTTTGTGTTTGAATTGAGAATTGGAACGACTGCAGGCTTGAACGTTTGTGTACCTGAACTGTGTACATGGCGTTGCTGTGTTTGTTTGTAACACATCATTCAGAACATATACATGTACCATAGAAGATTACTGGGTATGTTGTGTTGATGGGTATTGGAGTGGCATTTACAAGCATGGTACACTGTAAAATGTCCAATTAACAAGACCATATTGGGCACACGTAATAAACATTTTCTATTCATTTCAGATAATACATGCAAGTCAAACCTGTTTAGGTATTCAAAACGCAGCAGGTTTTCCCCTTTTTATTGAGTGGGTGTAATAAAATTGAATATTGGCTTGAAAGATCCAGCCCAAATACCGGTACATGTATTGTAGCCAACTTCAAAAACATTGTTAAGTACTGCAATCGAATCTTTACGTTTAAATACGCTTCAATATTTTCCCTGCTAAATTTGACTTTTCTGGACATACATGTATTATCACAGTCACTGAGGGGGAAAATTAGTGATGGCCAGGTATGGGATATCCATCCATGGGATATCTTTCCAAACATCTTTCAAAATTGATGGAGTAGGCAGGGCCTACCGAACGTTCACCTACTTGTCTGCAAAGATGAAGATCGAGGGCCTGATGTTTCACAATTTTTTTTTAATCAAACCAAAAATAGGAAAAGTTACAAGCACTGGCAGGAGATACACTGCTTGTTTGTTAATGTTAGTGTTACATTTATTTTGCTTGTGGCAAAACGTCTGCTAACGTTTAGGACTGACATTCATAAACATGACTAACGACAACGTTAGACTGAAACATGATCTGCAGCAGGCCCTTTCCAATTCAGATTTTTATAATAATTACCTCCGTCCTCTTCATCAATTTTCAGCGCCTTGGAGATGTACTCGAAGGCCTTCTTGTGGTGCTGTTTCTGTTTCACTAACAAGTTAGCCTCTTTACAACTGCTATCATTCATCATTCCAGACGGGCTAGATTGGCCAGTTTTACCGTCCGTGTTGGAAGCTATCGTCACCCCCGTCAAATGCGTCCCATTCACGGTAGTCTCCACAGAGGCGTACGCTGCTGAACGATCCACGGCGTACTTCTGCTTGATGTCCGTCACTCGCCAAAAAGCGTGCGATAAAAGCATCCAAACTTGGAAGACAATGAATCGAAGAAGTCCAAAAATGAAGAGTAGTGGGTAGCTGGCAAAACGAAGGTTCCTTCGATGGGGAGATTCTCGTTGTTCGGGCTTGAGTTTGCGTTTGAGACCGTTGGGGCTACGGGCTCTTTCGTTAGGCTTGTTACGGGGCATCGGGCCGGGGGTCTCGTACCCGCGGTAGATCCCCGCGATTTTGCAACCGATTACGGCATGAGCATGTGATGTTGACGCCGTCCATACACGTAATGCACGTACGTACGGCCACGGACGCGCGATAAGTTCGTCCGAGTCCGGTCCAGACATGTTTTTCACGCTCGTACACAATACGTACGTACGTAGTCGCGGCTGCTGATCAAAGAGGGCAGCACAAGCAAAATTTGGACACACATGTAGACTTTGGTGCTGAATACTGACTTGTGCTTTAACTTGTCTTGTGGCGGTCTAATTCTTCCTCCATGGATAGACTAATGATTATGGAGTCGATTAAAATGCTGTTTTGACTCAAGAACAGTTTGGATGTTCCTCGGATAGGAGTTGCTGGGGCATCATAAGGGGAGGGGCCGGGGCGGTAGGGGCTATCAAACCATTTACTGAACAAAAATGGGGTGGGGGAATGTTTTCCCCGATAGCTTAGAACATAACCCTACTCCCATCCCCAACCCTCTTTTCGATTTTGACCACCAAACATTCCATGCTGAGGTTTCGATCCAGCAGTGTGCTACCCCCCCCCCCTTCCCAATTATTAAGTCAGGCCTGTCTAAAATCCAGATCCACCCACATGTTAAAAAAAAAAAAATCAAAATTAGATGCCCACCCCCCAAAAAAAACCCAATTAACTATATAATAAACAAATGTCTGGATATCTGCAGGTACAGGTGTATATGCTGCTTCTATAGTGGTGTATGTCTCCAGGATTGAAGTGTAAATCAAAGACTGAAAACAAAATGGCATTGGAAATTACAAAGTACAACAAATTATGTACACACAAATAGCATCAAACTATTAGAGTATTTTATTGGATCTAATTTTGGCTCTACTATATATAATTCATATTCAAATAGCAATATACATGCATTTCTTTGGGTGCCAAATTTGACTCAAAGACCTCAAATTAATGAAAGGAATGACGAAGAATGTAAAATTAATAGATCAGAAGAATATAATCTGTTGGTAAGATTACAGAGCCTCTGGTTAAACAAAAAAAACCACTTGTATTACAAATTCTTGAATTACATGTTTTTTTCCCCTAAAAAGGCATTGGCAATCAAGTATGCTAACATAACTGATTAGGTATTATTACCCAAGAATTAAACCTTATGTACAATAATAACACCACTCAAAATCCAAAGCAGAATGTTCAAACTCTAACCTTTTCAACTTCAAACCTCAGCTCAGTAGATATTACACTTTTAATCACGAAACACAATTTTGTTTTACAGCATTCTTTATTTCCAAAAATCAGTCTGACTGATCGTTGAAAATTATCTACATTTCTTTTGTTCTTCAAAATGAAAACAAATCAAAGGGTCTGTAGTACTGTTACAATATTAAATTTCAGGGGGTGTTTTTACCAGCATGATCTGTAATCCAAGTAAGTTTTTTTCAGCAGGTCACGTCACTTTAAAGTACCAGACCACTAACTTGATTCATCCTTGCCATGGAGCTAGGCTTTACTCATCTGTGTCTTTCCATTTGTGAAATAAAGTGGTGCCCTCCCTCACTCTCGGCTCCATAACATCTGAGATTTCTCATCTGATATAATTAGTGCCCGATCAGTTCATCTGAAATGCTTCACACCACTGTGTAAATTTTAGACATTTTGTCCAACACAAAGTGATAATTTATGCAAAATGCAATAGTATTTGTATTATTTGATCGTAGTTTTTTACAGTATAAATTTCCCAATATACAACAGAAAAGATACAATAATTCTGGCTAAGGCCAAAAAAAAAAGTCTCCGGTTTCTGGTATGGAGCTTGCCCAAAAAGTGATGCGGCGACGCATTTTTTAATTTTTTTTTTACCTGATTTTTTTTTGCTTCAAATGTCGGCTGATGACTGCAAATGGTGCCCGACTAAACTTAGTGCAAATACATGGGAGTCCAGAGAGGCCACATAAAGCTTATTCTCAACCATAACCCAATCTAAAAACACGTTAAAATTGTGCAGCAGCAGGATTCCAGTCAAACCAATGAGTTTGGCGGTTTTGAGACATCATCTTTCATTAAAAAAAAAACTTTTTCATTTTGCCGACGCGCATGGCTACGGCGACGCGCGCGCATACCAGAAACCGGAGACTTTTTTTTTGGCCTAAGTCTGTATAGTTTCAAGTGTGTAAGGTACTGTAAAACATAATTTTTTCTACATAAAGTATGATTAAGCAGTATAGTTCAGTCGGAAAAGGGGGGTATCGTGCACCCTCGGAAATCAATTTCTAATCAACGTTTCTAGGTCAGAAAAAATGCGTAAAAAACGATTTGCTATGTTAAAAAATTCAAAAAATGTCCCACGTATTGTTTTTGTGCAAATTAGTGCCGCCATTACAGAAAAATCTATTTTTAACTATATCTCAGCCAATATTGCAGATAACTGAACAAACTAGGTGTCTAAACCCATGTTTTCAAGGTCAGAGATCACAATAAAACTATTCTGGAATTGACCACATGTGTATGTGGCATAGGAATATGCAAATTAGTGCCGCAAATACCGGAAAGTCATGTTTTTGGCATATCTCGGCCAATATAGCACATAACTACACCAGTAAGGTGTCTAAACCCATGTTATGAGGGTCAAGTATCATTAGAAGACCATTCACGAAATAACTATGTGTGTCGTTGGCAGGTAAATATGTAAATTCTAAAGTGTCGATTTATCAGAAATTTGATTTTTAGCCAATATCTCGGTCAATATTGCAGCTTATGTTGACAGAAGGGTTTTTGATAAGCAGTAATGATCAAAGTTTATTTTAAGCCATCATATTAAAAATAAACTGTAATATTGGCTGAAATTGAATATAATATTGGCTGAAAATCAAATTTTTGATAAACCGGCAATTTAGAATTTACATATTTTCATGCCAAAGACACACAAAGTTACTTCGTGAGTCACGCCCGTACTTTTCAACTTATAAGATCTTATAAGATTCTTATAAGAATCTTATAAGATGCTTGTAAGTGAGTAAGAATCTTATAAGATTCTTACAAGTGAGTAAGAATATGGTAAGATTCTTATAACATTTTTTCAAGTCAGAATTTCTTCTGATAACTTCTTATTGCTGCTGAGGAATTCTTATAAGAGACCAAAGTTTGAGTCAGAATGTTAAGGAATTCTTATAAGAAACCCTTTGAGTAAGAACTTGGTAGGGGGTCTCTATAAGAAACTTTGTCAGGAAGTATTATTTTACATAAGCTGGCTGCTCATGGGCCACAAGTAGGTCACATGACACAGTGACCTTGCATTCCAGAGATAAACAGTCAGTGTGGGAAATTTGAAAACTGCAGTCAGTATTAACATGCAGCAGTGCTGAGTACACAAGTCATGTACTGGCTTGCAACTGAGGACAAAAACTGTATAAAACTGGGTTAAAATTGTGGATATATTCCCTGACATGGCCTTTGGACATAAATTTGTTGTTCATGTACACACTTAACCTGTACATGACATCCAAAATACATGTGTGCTGGACCGATATCTGGATGGAAGTCTCTGAATTGCTGGCACTTGAAGAATTGTGAGTCAACACTCTCAACCTGTTTGCATGATGTTGTGCACTGCAACTGGTAAGTCTTCATGTACATGTACATGCATGGGCATGTATACAATTAGGACACTATTTAATTCTTTAGGCCCTATGTGTTAATATAACTGTACTGCTCTGACTGCATTTACATGAATCAGGTGTCTTTCAAATGACAAATTAACTTAAGCATGTTAAGCATGGAAGGGCAATTGAAAAAATAGTACAACTTAATGACGCTTAACGCTCAGTGTATTGATTAACATCTGGTCAAAAGTTAATACTCTAAAAAAAAATTCAAACCTTGTTTTTACATTACATTTGTAATTATATATTGATTAATTTTAAGTATTCTGTTTTCCATTTCAGATAGAGCAAAATTGCAATTACATGATTGTGGTGGACTACATCCTTAAGTCTGGATTCCATCCACGACAAAGGTCTATCATCAAGCAGAAGAAATCAAGGCGTCATTAAAGCCTGCATCTCACTGATCTTGACTACGCGGCGGACGATCTGGCCCTCACGGGTGATCAACTGTGATGCTCAAGACCTGTTAACATCTCTCGAGAATGCTGCAGCCAAGGTCTGCCCATGGAGGAAGGAATGGTCTGCCTTACTCCAAAACTGTGAGGCTCCGCGTGAGCGGAGCCTCATAGATCTAGAAGCCCGCAAAATTGTCTGCAGCACAAAACACTAATAAAGTACAAAAACGTCCATCAAAATGCAGACATTTCACACAGAACCGCTGCACAGTTTGCCCCTATACTCCGTACTTTACCTCTTGACATACTCACGTATCATGCGCAGAACTAACATAGGTGGATTCTGTCGGTTTTTAGGCCAAAATGATGAAAAATATGTCCTTTGGCCGCAATGAGCCAACCGAACACTTGAAACGTGCACGCATAATGATCGAGCGATGATTTTCGGTTCGCTCGGAGCGCGCCGCGGGGGGTACGGTACATGCACTTGTACGCATGCACATACTACATGTATCATTTCGCCTGTACCGTACCCCCCGCGGCGCGCTCCGAGCGAACCGAAAATCATCGCTCGATCATATGCATGCACGTTTCAAGTGTTCGGTTGGCTCAGTGCGGAATGGGCATATTTTTCATCATTTTGGCCTAAAAACCGACAGAATCCACCTATGTTAGTTCTGCCCATGATACGTGAGTATGCCAAGAGGTAAAGTACGGAGTATAGGGACAAACTGTGCAGCGGTTCTGTGTGAAATGTCTGCATTTTGATGGACGTTTTTGTACTTTATCCCTAACCCCCTAAGGGCTGTTTGGGGGTCAAGTACCAAATACCACAGAATACTACATGTGCTGTGCACACTTGTATGGAAAGAAATTAATACTACAGGTTACTACTCAGTGGTATTTTGTAGCATTTATTAGTGTTTTGTGCTGCAGACAATTTTGCGGGGGATCTAGGAGTAGGTCTGCCTATTTCTTAACGGAAAGAATTAGACCGAGTACATGACCATCGATGAGGATGAGAGCCACTACCCAATATACACCAGTGACGGCACCTAACTGTGATTTCAGGTACCTTGGGTCTAGCTATGTTGCCGAAAGTAAGCTTTAAGAAGGATTTCACTCGCAAAGGAATAGTTTGGAGTGCATGTAACGTACAAAATCCCGGGACATACCGTTATTTCGTTTTACTGTTTTGGATTTCCTCAAAAACAAAAACAGTAAACGAACCATTGACCGTTTTCTCGTTTTACAGTTTTGCAAAACGGTCAAACGGTATTAAGTCACACACACAAAATACGTTTTGTTGTGGTTTTTAATTGTAGAAAGCGTTAAACGGTTAGTTGCTTTATTTTTAGAGTGTTGTTTTACAAAATCATGACAATGACAAAACGGTCAAAAGTCTTGCCGACCATTTTTTGATTTTAGGTTCGGCAATTAAGCAATGCACCGGAATGTTAATTAATGCGTCCTTGGGATCGAGTCATTGCCTGGGCCCCGCTCCTTACATTTCGTCTCACGACAAAATTTGCGAATTGGCTATTGAAGAGCCGCGTCGACTTGAACCCCAGTTTCCTTCAAAATGTCTGCAGCTTCATCAAACGTCTTATTACCATCCTGTTTCCATTGTGAAAAGTAATGTCCTCCCTTGAAGTTTTCCAGCGCCAATTTGCTTGGAACTCTTTAAGCCCCACCAACTTGACTGATCCGCGCCAGGAATCACATCACGCATTAATTATGCCGAGGTAACACTTCTTCGTGTAAAACATGGTCCCCCTCCACCCCCTTGCCCACCGCCACAAAATGCACCACGGACTGTTAACTATGACACTGGAATAAAAATACCAGTCTGTATTTGTGTAATCTGTAAAACAAAAGTCATTGATCGATGCTATAATGAATTTTACTAAACTTATAAAACGGAGAAACCGTATTTATCTTTATACCGCTTGTCGTTTTATAACACTGTAAAACGACAAAACGGTCGATGATTCGTTTACTGCATGTTTTTGTTTTTGAGGAAATCCAAAACGGTAAAACGAAATAACGGTATGTCCCGGGATTGTACAAGCTTCATAACATCTGACGACCGAGTATAGCACAATCAACAAAGCTTGCCTTCTTGTGTGGAGAGCATTCTTCTCTATGGAGCTAGTGAAACCTGGACCATGAAGAAGGAGCTTCAAGATCGCCTTGATTGCACATACACCAGGCTTCGTTTGTACTTGATTTTTCAGGGAGAACTATATAGCTCCCACATGTGTTGTACACGATTGTAAATTATTGTCCTCTATTGTTTAACATCCCATACTGAATGCAGAAACGAACTGACATATACAAGATTCAGCATTTTGGAAGATATTAAGTACCTTTTTTTGGAATATTTTATACATCAGATGACTGGTTCTGATCACTTTACTGAACACGTGGTAAAACTAAACAAAAAGAAATATTGTATTCCAACTTTTCTTCTGCAAGCTGTAAATTATATTTGTCCTGAAACAAACTGTAAGTATTAAATTAACTCTTTTAACCTACTTTTACTGTCCTGGCATCCATTATTTGTTGACGTGTCATTTATTTAAATATTTATTTCATCAGCAAACACAAGATCCTTTTGTTAGTCATGGGTTTTCATAGATGTTTAGTAACGAGCATGTCTATTTATGATGTAGGTTTCTAAGAAAAGTTTAACAATACTTTTAAAATTGTATAAGATGTTTAACAATCTTGTAAGATTTTAAAAATTTTGTTAAGATTTTTTATAAGATTCTGTGACTATTCTTATAAGATTGTTATAAGATTCTTATAAGATTCTTATAAGATTCTTATAAGATTCTTATAAGAGTATTTTGTAGGCCGCGCCGGGATTCTTATAAGAATCTTATAAGAATCTTATAAGATCTTACTAATTTGCATATAAAATACTTATAAGAATCTTATAAGATTCTTATAAGATTCTTATAAGAAGGTTCTTAGATTCTTATAAGATTCTCACAACATTCTTATAAGATTCTTATAAGATTCTTATAATAAGTCCTGTCCCTTTGACAAAAAGGAAGGAGGAGGCCCTTTTTTTTTTTCTTTTTCTTTTTTCAAAATGGCCGCCTGACACATTTTTCAAGACAATGCAGCCTGGCTATTTTTCAAGATGGTTACCTGCTTTTTTTCAAAATGGCCGCCACTTGGACTCATTTACTATTTCCACAGCTTTATACACGGTATAAAAGTCTAAAAATACGATTTCTTTTGTCAGAGATCGTTAAAATTTATCAATTTTTGTCTTTAAAAAAAAAAAAAAAAAAAAAAAAAAAAAAAAGAGGCGGCCTCTAAAAAGGAAGCAGGCGGGGACGCTAAACATGTTTTTTTTCTACTTCGCCTAAGATTCTTATAAGATTCTTATAAGATTCTTATAAGAGTATTTCGTAGGGGTGGTCTTCTAATGATACCTGATCCTCAAAACATGGGTTTAGACACCTTACTTGTGTAGTTAAGTGCAATATTGGCCGAGATATTTGCTAAAAATCATATATCTGATAAACCGACACTTTATAAATTACATATTTTCATGCCACAGACACACATAGTTATTTCGTGAATGGTCTTCTAATGATACTTGACCCTCAAAACATGGGTTTAAGACACCTTACTGGTGCAGTTATGTGCTATATTGGCCGAGATATGCCAAAAAACATGACTTTCCGGTATTTGCGGCACTAATTTGCATATTCCTATGCCACAGACACATGTGGTCACTTCCAGAATAGTTTTATTGTGATCTCTGACCTTAAAAACATGGATTTAGACACCTAGTTTGTTCAGTTATCTGCAATATTGGCTGAGATATAATTAAAAATAGATTTTTCGGTAATGGCGGCACTAATTTGCATAAAAACAATGCGTGGGACATTTTTTGAATTTTTTAACATAGCAAATCGTTTTCTACGCATTTTTTCTGACCTAGAAACGTTGATTAGAAATTGATTTCCGAGGGTGAACGATACCCCCCTTTTCCGACTAAACTAGTATTAAATATCGAAATAAAGAGATAACTGTGTACTCAAAGTAATTGTCTTAAACAATAGCAATAATCTTTGTACACTTGGTCATCCATCTTCCGCAAAGCTGTATGATAAAATGTAATACAAAGTCAAAACCTAGAAATGAAAAGGAAGAAATTAGTACACATGTTACCTATTTTGGGAAAAGACCAACGTTAATTGTAGCCAAGAGTCAAGACCCCCACAAGACCCCCACAAGAGCAAACCAACACAAGACCTTTAGTCTCAATTAAGTATAAGTAACAAGCTATTCACATGAACTGTAGCAAAGACATTCCTTTGTCATTGTTCGTGCTGTAACTTGGGGCTGGTCTTGTGCTTGCTCTTCAATTGGTCTTGTGTCTGGTCTTGCGTTGACCTCAACTACAACCCTGGCGAAGACAAGAGAGAACAATCATTCTGAGTGTGTCTGTTAACTGCGCCACTGAACTTGAAAGTGAACAGGCAAGTTCATGCACACTGTCCTGTCGTTGGCCTTACCAAAATCCAATAGGGGGTGAAACACTTGAATTACTCTCCTTTGCTATGGAGGGAGCTCCACAGAAAGTGGTTACTTTTTTCCTTGACTGGAAAACCAAAGTCAGGTTTAGGTGTAACCCATAAAACATAACTTACGACAGACTGCGTCGTCTAAAATCCCCAATACTATTTACATTGTTATAATGAACTACGTTCATTATTATACAAATAATGAATGTTTGTGAGTGCAACGGTAAGAATAATTTCATGAGGTGACAGATGAAATGTTCCATTCCACGAGGCGAAGCATGCACGAACGTGAAACATTCATTATTTGTTTTATATAACACCTGAATAAATCCTCCTCATCTGATTGGTTGACATTTAATAGTCAATTTATTCAAGTTAAAAATTGTTTACAAGTTTGACAAGTTCAGAGTTATCATATTTAATTTATGCAAACTGTTCAACAGGTTGAGAACTATCATATTCAATTTATCTCAATTTAAAACTTTTCCATAAGTTTAGAACTAAGACAGTTCAATAAGTTCAGAACTTTTATTGCCAATTTAAACACCACAGCGCCACCTTCGGCAACATGTACAGTGACAGTGCAATGGTACTTCTAATCACAGTGCAATAGTACTTCCATTGCACTGTGCGCTGCGCGCCATGCCCGCGCCGTGCATTGGTACAAATAATTCAATGACGTGATCAACGATCCACCAATCAGATGACGGGGATTTATTCAGGTGTTGTATAATAATTCTTATTTCAAAAGGCTTACTACTTTGCTAAATATTATTACACGTATTTCTGTGGACACATTCTTTTCCTAAAGAGTTAACATTCTTCAACTGCAACACTGCTATAGAAGAGTGTTAACGAGACATAATGTTAGCACCCATTTGACTCTCCAGATTCCCACAACATTCTCCTGACACCTTGTGTCACAGCTTCCTCGTTTCTATTCTCATCAGTGGTTCCTGATGAGGGGGGCTCTCTCCATGGGGTCATATTTCCTGACGTATTCATCGGGCTGTCTGGTGAAGCCGTGGGATTGGTCACTGGTTGGTTTTGGGATGTAGCAGGAGAGGGGGTTTGTGGGCAATTATTAATCCCTGTTTCAGTACTGTGAAGCGACTTATGATCCAAACCATGGTGTTGGGGTTGAGCAGTGGACAGCATGTGTCCAGTCACAGCCGCACCATTGCAGGGTGGTTGCACCATGTTTGGATTAGAGTCACCTGGTTCTGCGTCTGTGCTAGACAGGGATCCGTTTGTTGGGCAACTTTGATCAGGAACCTGCAAAGGTTGTGGAGGTGCTTGCAATTGCAAAAATCTTTGACTTCCAGGCAATGGCTTGATAGTATCATCTGGACTTGGAGTGTCACCCAGGGCCATTGGTTCTTCACTGGCCGGCTGTATTGAGGGAGTGCTTCCATCACATGTTCTCAGCTCATAGTTTTCAATCTCTTCAACAACATCAAGTCTGTTCATTGCTTGTAATTTGTCTTTCAGATCCTTCAGTGATTTGATTCTTTTTTCTTGCAGGACAGCTTTTATGATACACCTTGTAGGTGACCGTTGGTTTTCCCATGAACTAATACATCTATCATAGCCAAATGACGCAGCAAGAACCCTCCAGTCATTACCTAATGCATAATCTATCACATCGAGCTTCTCACACAGTAATCGTTTAACTGCATATGGAATGATTTCTTGTGTCACAAAAGATGATCTGCAACTTCTAGGCATGATGGAGGAACCATTTGGACCGTCTGCATATTCCTGCTGGAACCAACTGGATGCAGACTGTGTGCATGATCCATCCACTTGAAATATACCGGAATCAGTACTTCCTATCAACGATATATCCTGTCTTGACGTCCGTCTTTGTTGGAACGATACAATTCCTGGTGCATGCTGGGCCTGGGGAGGAGCAGGGGCATCAAATGTTGAGTGACCATTGGCACCACTGCCTGTTGGAAGATAACTCGAGTCTGATGATACCTGCAACCAAACCACCAAGACATGACATAACAGCGATAGCCATTTTATTTCTATTTGAGTGGTCGGGCACAACCCGACCAGTTTAGAATTGTTCTGAAAAATCTTCTTTGACATAACACCACTCTTGTAACATCAACTTACATGTACACGTGTATTTGGGTCACATGAAATGTTCATTGACAGCATTATTGTTTTCTTTAGGTTTTATGTGAATAAATTCCCTATGATCTCAGAATAAAAACAATATTTCTATTGTTTTAGCCACTGTGACCATGACCCTTGACCTTTCGGCCCCATTATGTCCACATAATGACTGTAAGACACCCACCCACCTGTATGTATCATCATTTCAATGTTAACAGCCATACCTTCACATGGTTAGATATTTGCAGCTTTGCTACTTCTTCATTTCCTGTCTGCTGGAACTGTATGACACACCTGAACTCCTTGGCTTTATTGGTGGTGCAGAAGGTAAACTTGCATTGATTCCAAGGTTGGGAATTCCACATTTTACTGAAGGAAAATTCCACCTGCAAGGGTGGACATGGTAAAAAGACCTCATTATTCACATCCATTTAAGATCTCACACAACCTTCATACTTGTTTTTGTTTTTCATAAGCTAAACATTTGACAAGCCTTTTCATAATCATAACAGAGATCTGTTCCTTAGACATGTTAGAAAGGCGTATTAAGATATTAAAAGTTCTGGCAAGACCTTGCAGAAAAAACACTATCGCAGGCTCATCTTTTTAAAAAATATTTCGAGTGGAATCAATAGAAGAAGATAATAGTTGCTGAAAGGGACAATTTAACACCACACGTGGATATAGTGATGTTCTTTGTTTGTTTGACAACATTAACTTACGCATTGGCTGCATAATGTTAGCTGCCATGAACTGGTATGGTCCTTCACTTCAATTTGCATATTGCCTTGGTTTAACTTTCCAAATTGGTATGTGACTGGGCCATCCAATTGCTTCCCGTCTAGATTCTGCTCTTCCTGATGAATTCTCTGCACAGGAGATACAACATTTTTCCCTGTTCAAAATAGGTTTATAGATTTTGACCAGAACGAAATGTCTTTTTGTCAATCATGTCCAAGCACAATAGTAGAATACTAGAATACAGATTCAGGGGAAGGGCAATTGGGGTCACCTACATGTAACTCAGAGATGAAACTGGCAAATGGGGGAGGGGGGGAGGAATGTATTGAAAAATCAGAGTATGGAAGTAAGCAACTACAAAGAGGTCAGAGTAAAGTAATGATTCTGTGAGTGAGTTCATCAGATGAAAATGACATACTCACGTCTCGGATACTGACATGGTCATCATACAGATAGATACGGATCTCTTGGTCATCCTCCAAGCTTCTGAGCTTGGGTCCGTAGCCAACAATCATGATGTTTTTGGCCAGGGACTCTTCACCGTTCACACTGATAGTGAACAAGCAGAAATGACGGACTGAGAGAATGAAGCATCCATCCTGGCAATCCACTGCCATGTCTGAATCCTCAGGCTTGGCTATCTTCTGCCAATGTGGTGACTCTCCTTCATGATTTGAACAAAAAATTAAAACTCATGGTAAGTCCTAGTCTAGGTTGGATGATGTTTTCATTGCATTACGACTGACGTCCAGGGTCGAAGACCTCTGTGTAATACGACTCAAAAAAAGAAAATTATTGGCTGTTTCGGCACATATGAGCTATTTAAAAACTAACCTTCTTTAGTTTGGCTGCAATGGATTGTCACTTTACAGTGCTTTGTATCTGGTATGACGGCACAGTGAGGCAACTTAAGCTGAACTTGCTTGTCAAAGTGTAGACCCGTTGGTCCGCACTGGACTACCGGTGCTACGTTCATGACGCTACGTCTCAACGGCGGTATGTGCTTGTCATTCCAGTCCACACTCAGCGTGATGTCTTCCACTTGACCCTCCTGAAGAGCTCCTGGAGGGATCTCCAAGGAGATTTCACCGTTGAAAAGCTCCAGCCTTCCCCCGGTGTGATCGATGCGTTTTCCTACCCTTGGAGGCTGTAGGTGATTTGCAAGCGGGGCATGAGATGGGGATTCAGACCCCATCATCAGAAATCTATATCTTTCCAGACGATTGTAATCAAATCTATCATCAGATACTCCAAGTTCTTCTTCAGAATCCTTACTTTCCACCAAACCACCAGGCCTCAGAGATTGTTCCTTGGTCTGCATCTGGGAGCCAGCATTCAAAAAGAGGAAAAAAGAAAGATTTTTAACAACCCTGCTAAAATGCTGGACTATGACTTATAAACTGATCAAACAGACGATGATAACAAGATGAGTTTACTCGGATTCGCAAGTGCTGGGGATCAATGTCGAAGATAGATGAGCTCATGCCGTTTCAATAATATTTGTTCATACCAGGATTAATCACAAGGGTAAATAACCAGGTAGTCTACGCATAAAGTATAACTTATAAGGGGACCATGATAGGGTTAGCACAGTACATACTGACAATCTTTGTAAAATAGAGGCTGAGACTTTTTTTTTTTTCAGACTCCTTCAATGGGATTTTAGTTTGGCGAGCTGGCAGGTGAACTTGGCAAGGATTGGTGTTCCAACCTCCTTGCCTTCTATGTGTCCTCGGGAGAGGACTGTGCCAGCACCTCCAAGGGCAAGGGAAAGGTGGCACCACTGAAGAAGCTCCAAAAGAACCCCAAGTTCCACAAGGCTTTCAGGTAAATCACACTTGCATTTCAACAATTGCAATATTCACATAGAAACTAATCATAGAACAACATGTAGTGTTCACATACAGGCGACTCATTAATACCTCGTCTTAAGCGACAAGCAAGTTTCGTGCACTCGCCGACGTACATCATGGGTCGTTAATGTAGCTAATGCATAGGCCACATGCTCTTGTTGAAATTGTAGTGAATCTAGTGAAAAGTTAAATCATGTTCTCCATGAAATTGTGATGTTAAGAAATGAAGTCACGACAGTACCGGTATGTAACATTAAAACTTGTATGGTGCATTTGTGTACATGTAATTCAGAAGAATAAAGAAAAAAATAAACTGACTTTCAACCCAACAACGGGGCAAGCGGAATCATCGCCACCCACGTACTGTACCGATGCGATGTCACCTACCTGTCATGATCGCGAAGGCATGCACGTAAGTACATTAACATTCTTAGTTGGTGACCAACAGAAGAGTTGCATTCAGTGTGCAGGTACAGATGGTGATACCAGCAATTTTTTTCTTTCCAATGTGGACACTAGAGGGCGTGGGTCTGAGTTGAATTGTTAACGAATGCCCTGGTTACGTTAAACGATTTTAGCGGGAAATGCGGGTGACTTTTGTTGGGATTTACAGCATGGGTGGGAGAATAATGCATTTTTTTAAATGGGGAATTTGCATATGTACATCAAGTGGGGGTGACTTTCTTCTATTTTTCTTGTTTTCAACTTTCCAAAAAAAAAAATATACTGCCTTTTTTTTCTAAATTCTTTTGGGATAAGTTTTTGGGGAGGGTAATTTTAATAATTTTCAGGGAATTTTTTTTTTTTTTAAAAAATAGATTCACCGTTCGGGCAGCACCATAAAGAAACACTGTGATCGCCCGGGAATTGCAAACGCCTATTGTCTGCCTTGTTCCTTCGGGCGGCACGAAAGCCATCAAAAAGAATCCCTATGATAGCCCGGAACCGCAAATGTCCATTGTCTGCTTTAAGCCCCCTCATGCAGTACGTGAAAACACAAAAAATTGTGTGCTAGCCTAGTGGTATAAAAACTGCAGCGCTGAAGTTAGCAAGCATCATCACGGTGCCAATTAAAACTGAATAGGTTCGTTGATTGACAAATTGTTTTCCCAAATGCGCATGGAAATAGACAGATAACAATAGATTTGCACTTACCAGACCGCAAAAAGTGCTTGTCTTAACCATCATCTCGTATCACCCAACATGCCCATCAAGCTCATATTAAGCACTTTTTCCTAATAGTAATATGCACACTTTGGTCGGGACTGGGAAATATGCTCGTCTAAACTGAAATCTCGTCTTAACCATGCTCGTATTAACGAGAGTCGACTGTATTATGCACTATGTTACAGGCAGCTTGGCGTGGCGTGGAGGATGGCCCAAGAGGTGCAGGAGCAATTGGAGGCTTTCATCTGTACAATGTATGGTCAAGCCTTTGAGAGTTCTGTGAATGGGGTGAGGAGCAAGCTGCTAAAGAACATGGTGGGAGAGGATCACATGCTCAACTCCAAGTCGAAGGTTGACTTGGTTTGCATTCCTCCCTGCCAAGACTCGCTCGTCCCTTGTATACAGCTGCTCGAGACACCCAATGTGCTACAGGCGTGCTGTTGACCCTAATTTCAAGCTCCCCAAACGGTATGACGCGGGTCAAGGGTGGCTGAAGACAGATGAAGGGGTGCTGGAGTCTAGCTGTCTGGACAATTGGCCCATATATCTTGCCCCCATCACTCGTTGACCTGTTGGATACTGACGATGCTGAAAATGACGAGGGCCAGCAAGTGTGCGAAGTTGCCGAGCTGTATCATGAGGAGGCTATGGAGATAAATGAAACTGATCTTCTGATGGATGCTGAGGATGACTCTTAGACTTTTTTACTGTGGGTGAATCCAAGTACGCCTACTACGGGATCGGACCCCATGGTGGGATTGGTACCTCCCCTTTCTTCAGATCGGGTATCCGGTATGGGCAATGCGGAAGTCGACGGGAAGACCACAATGACTTCCTCATCATCGCCACTGGTATCATCCCTCTCTGACTCTGTTGGGTCCTCCTGCTCATTAGCAACCATTGTCTTGGCTTTCATTCTAGTCACTGGGCCTTTTGGCTTTGCTTTACCAGCACACTGTTGAGAAGGCTCCTCATTGAGATAGTCAATGGGAAGTAAGATGTTTCTATGTAGGGTACGGACTCGTCCACCAGCCTCCGGCCTAACTCTATATACAGGCATGTCAGGGTTGATACGCTCAGAGACTACATGAACAGCCAGATTCCAGTGATCTGCAAGTTTCTGCTTGCCTTGCAATCCAAGGTTCTTTACCAAGACCCGGTCACCTGGAAGGAGTTCATAGCCTGTCACACGCCTGTCATGACAAACTTTGTTTGCACTGGCCGACTTGGCAGATTTGTCTGAAGCAAGCTGATATGCTCGAGAAAATTGCTCTTTTAATCCTCTGACATAGTTGGAGTGGTCAGCATTAGAGTGACCATCAGGGCTTACCCCAAACCGCAGGTCAATTGGAAGCCTTGCCTCCCGGCCAAACATAAGGAAGTACGGGGAAAAACCTGTACTGTCATGTTTTGTACAATTATAGGCATGTACAAGGGCACTGACGTAGCGGCTCCACGTTGCCTTCTTCTCACTCTCGAGAGTCCCCAGCATGCTCAAGAGTGTTCTGTTGAACCGTTCCGGCTGGGGATCTCCCTGAGGGTGGTAGGGGGTAGTGCGTGACTTTTTTATTCCAAGTAAGTTAGTCAATTCCTTAACGACCTTACTCTGAAAGTCACGTCCCTGGTCAGAATGTAGGTGCTTGGGCAGACCATAGTGCACAAAGAAATTTTCCCAAAGGACCTTGGCGACGATACGGGCGGTTTGGTCTTTGGTGGGAAAAGCCTGCGCGTACCTGGTGCAATGGTCCGTCACAACAAGTATGGACTTCTTGTTTGTGCTATCTGGCTCAAGGGATAGAAAATCCATGCACACCAGCTCCAGTGGACAACTTGTCCTGATATTCACTAGAGGAGCAGCGGGCTTGGAGTTTGTCTTTCTGGCTATGCATCGACCGCAGTGCCTCAACCACTCGTCGATTTCTGTGGCCATGCGGGGCCAGTAAAACCTGTCCCGAGTGAGTGCCACTGTGCGTTTAACACCTAAGTGCCCCAGCTCATCATGGAGGCCCCTGATCGCCTGGATGCGATATTGTGTAGGGAGCACAAGCTGGTACACTTTCTTGCCGAGGTTGTTCATGACACACCTGTACAGGACACGGTTGGAAACTCTCAGTTTCTCAAATTCTCGCAGGATAATCTTTGCCTCAGGTTGGAATTCGGCCAGCAAATCCGGTTTGTTTCCACCTTCAACACACAGTATAACCTGTTTGATAGATAGATCATCTCGCTGCACCTTGACCCTATCAACCATTTGGGAACTGGGCTCAGGATCATATGAGTCAGGCACGGCATTTGCATGAGCAGGGAAAGAGTGGACAAGAGGGACAGAATCTGGAGTTGGGGAGTGAAGCGGATTCGCTGATATGGCCACACCATGCACTGCAACTTGAACATGTGTTGGGGAATAGAGGGCACAGATGGCCTCTTTGGGACAAATCTCATCCTTGACATCTGCAATTCCTTTCAGGCGGGCTTCCAACATTCCCAGTCTATTTTGCTGCTCGTGTTCATATTTCTGGCTGAATTCTAAACCATGTGGCCTACGCGATAGCGCATCTGCATCCACATTGGTCCTTCCTGGTTTGTAATGGACGGAGAAGTCAAGCGAGGAGAGTGCTGCAAGCCATCGGTGGCCTGTTGCATCCAGCTTAACTGAGGTCAAGACATAGGTGAGTGGATTATTATCCGTCATAACCTTAGTCCCTTTCGCCATGTACAGGTAGTCTTTGAACTTATCGGTAATCGCCCATTTTAGAGCTAAGAACTCCAACTTGTGTGCGGGGTAGTTCTTCTCACTTGGGGACAATCCCCGACTGCCATATGCAACTGGACGGAGTTTACCCCCTTGATCCTGGTACAATACTCCACCTAAGCCGTCTCGACTCGCGTCAATGTGGAGCACGAATGGTTTTGAGAGGTCTGCAAAAGCAAGTACTGGTGCTGTTACAAGCCGTTCCTTTAGAGTGAGGAAAGCCTGCTCAAATTCTGCAGTCCACAGATCACCAAATGGCTCATCAGCCTTATGAGTGACAGAATCGGAATTGCACCTGAGTGAAGGACGGCCTTGCTTCTTGGGATAGACTACACCCACCGTAAGGCCAGACCCACGTTGTTCACCCTGTAGTCTAGGATGCGCCATTGAGTGACGGGGAGCAGGCACTGGGGAAGCCGAGTGCTGAAAGAAATGAGGGGCAGAGGGAAAGAATGATGGCACATGTGGTGAAAGATGCTGCAGGTGATGCGCTCCTTGATGTTCAGCCGGCTGGCTCCGATGTGCCAGCTTGGTCTTTGCTTCTTCAGC